GCATTTATTTTGGGCTGCCCAATGATGGGCTTACATTCACCACTGTCATCGTACTAGTGCCTAATTGATTATGCAAATTAGGTATTCTTCAGTACCATAAAAAGCAACAAGGGGCCCAAAAGTGACCATTTGAACGTCTTGCCAACACTCAGACACAATCACACTCTAACACTTAACACACATACAGTCAGAGAAGGTATAGAGGTCATTTATATAATACAGTGTCACTTGCAACAGGATACCAGGAAATATTCACTGAAGCTTTTAATTTGATTCTTTTGCACCTGTTGAAAGCTAACATCTTCATTACATTTGGAAGGTCTGAAGGTCTTTGAAGGTCTTTGGCTAACAAATATCAACCAGTTGTTTTTGTGTTTACCTTCACAGAAGGAATCCTATTGTTTTACTCTCTTTCTTCCTCCTCTTCTTCTTCTCCAAACAAATAAGGTCAATGACCTGAACCAGATGTCTGTCACCATGGTAACTTATGTTGGGTTTGTTGCAATTTTATAGCAGGAGGGATTTAGACTCCTGTCACCATATATGTTTAAATAAGAATTAACAGAGCAGACCATATGCAAAGGTAAACATTATGCATTTGCTTTGCAAATGTTACCCTTCTTGTTAATGACTTGTGTCTTTCTCCAGACTGCCGTGGTGGAGACTCCCAAGAAACGAGGCCGGCCCAAGAAGGAGACTCCCGCTGTCGTGACTGAGTCAGATTACAAAGTGGACGCTGATGCGCCTGCTGAAAAGACAGACGACTCTGCTGAGGAGGGGCAGTAGTTCAGGTTGTGGTCTCCCGTACCAGCCATCCTTTTTTTTCAGTCTCAGATTTATAACCTTAAATCAAACTTATCTGTGTATTTAGGGCTTTGAACACCTGTTGGTTCACAGATTATCTGCATTAACACTTTTTTTAGACATTTCAGTGCACTAAATCCATAAAGGTGTGACAATTGTGGTTGTAGATATGCTTGAGCGGAGCTATCCACTTACTGCTAAATCTTTTATTCTTCTTCCTACAAAGAGATTGCTCCTGCATTAAGTTCCATGCTGTCATTAAGAAATGGCATCAACAATTCATTTACAAAAGATGTCTGATAGCATGACCTTAATTGATTCATTTATTTTTATTTATTTATTCCACTTCACAGAATTCCACTTCACAGAAGTTAAAATTCTGAGGGGAGACGGCAACAGGAACAGTATGTTCCTCTCCGAGGCCGACTCCCCTACAGATATGAAATTACACAATAATAATTAGTACAAGCAATTAAAAAAATGTAAAAGCAAATACAAATAAAACAAGCTAAATATTGATCATGATGACTGTTTTGCCATGTCAACAGTACCATAGATACATACATCATTCTAGTGTACACTATTTAATAATCCTACCTGGCTACTGATGGAATATTCTATGGAAAAGCATGCCAAATGGATCTAAACTATGAGTCGGGGCAAAACCAACATCAAAATGACTTGTTCTCACCTGATTGCCAAGTTTTCAAAACAGTAATGGTAATTTTAAAAGAGTCTCTTTTTTTTGGTCAACAAGTCTAACTCCATAATCTACATATTTAACAAATTATTTCAAAGAGCACAAGAGGACATCAGTAGCCTTTCTGCTAGCAGAAATGGAACAAAGTTGTCCAATTGATGTCAGTGAGGTACAAATGTCTGTGTCACCCCAGATGTTTTCTCAAACTGTGGCCTGTTGTGTGCATGATAAATGATGATGGTTGTCAGGTGAGATAGGTACAGCAATACCAGCCAAACTGTTTGTGCCATGGGTAGAACACAATCCTAGATTGGGATATAGGGGACACTACTTGTTGGTTAGATGTTTTTGTATACAAGTGTTGATCTGATAGTGGGTGTGTAGAGCATCATGTCAGATTTGAACTATACCATATATAGAGACTTAAAGCACAGTGTCACGTGTATGTTGCTGCCAACAAT